TCAGAGCAGACAAAAGTAACCAGACTAAAGAAATAACCAGAAGAATAAGAATGGGGTGGGCTGCATTCGGAAAACTCTCATATACTATCAAAAACCAAAAAATACCTTTAAAATTAAGAACGAAGGTATTTAATGCATGCGTCCTACCTGTTCTGACATATGGTGCCCAGACGTGGACGTGTACCAAGAGCAACTTAGATAGAATAAAGAAAACTCAAAGAGCTATGGAAAGACAAATGTTGGGAATATCGTTGAGAGATAAAAAGAGGAACGAGTGGATAAGATGCAAAACCGAAACAACAGACGCTGTCGAACATGCATTGAAATTAAAATGGAAATGGGCTGGGCATAATGAAAGATATCAGGATGGAAGATGGAATAAAGAAATTGGCCGCTGGAGACCATATACTGCAAAAAGGTCAAGAGGTCGACCGCAAATGAGATGGAAAGATGACATTGAGCAAAGCGCAGGTCCAATGTGGAAAAGACAAACAGAAGACAGAGACAAATGGAGACAAATGGGAGAGGCCTATATTCAACACATGAATAGATTTTGGGCTATAGATAGATAGATAGATAGATATTAACTGTAGAAATATGTTTAAACCATTGAAATCATACAAAAAAAAATATTCTAAAATAGAACAATTCACATTCTTAACCAGAAATTCTTATTTGATAAAACATTTTTAATTTTGTGATAAATTCTATACAATGGAACAATCTGGATCTAAATGACGATATACTTACAAAGACGTACTACATGACATGACTTTATTAATTGTAATATTATCAACAACATCGATTTGCGAAGCCAATACTTTTCTAATCGCTAAAAACGAACAAAATTTACAAACTTTGATAGACAGAATGATACAGGCAGAAGAAACATATTTGAAGAAATCTGTAGATTATTTTCAAAGTACGTTCGGGTACTGCGTGCTGAACTACTATGTGTTTTTTAATATATTTTTTTTTATATAGCGCATCAACCACGCAGGGTTATTAGCGTATTTAGATTAATGTGACAGTTGATACAATTAGCGTATATACATTAGTTTACAATAATAATAATAATATGTATTGTATTACAATGTATGTTTTAGATCATTTGAAGAAGTTGACAGTCTTTAAGATAATAAAATATTTTTTGGGTATCTGTATTTTCATCTAGGGCATCTTTAGGGAAGTTGGGTATGTTATATTTGAGTCGTTCACTGTTATATTTGGGACACTGTATTATTTTGCGCTGTAATAAATAGTGATGAGTAAGTCGTGTATGGCCGATACGGAGACGGATAAGTATCACTTGCTCTCTTCTGTCTTTTATTTTTGGTTTCCAAAGATGTTGACGTTTGTTGACTTCGTATAGCCTTGATGGAGTGTTGTTCCAAGTTTGTTGCCATTTTTGAATTGTTTTTTTGTTTTAAGTATGGTTTTAAATCGTTTTGTACCAATATGCTACTTTGTTCAAATTTTTTTAGTTGTCATTTTTGTCCCTTTGGTTCCATTTTTTTCATTAATTTCAAAAATAATCCAACTGGGCATGCATTTTTATTTGATAAATTTTTTACCAGACATTTTCTGGTAATTATTATTTTTGAAATTAATGGAAAACATTATTATAACATTATTTTTGAAATTAATGGAAAAAATGGAACCAAAGGGACAAAAATGACAGCTAAAAAAATTGGAACAGACACAAAAAAAACATAAAATAACAAACCTCTCTCATCGATCTTTAGCTGTGTCAGCCTTGTTCAAGCAAGGTATTTCTGAACAGGAGAATTCAATTAACGGGTCAATTAGCTGGATTTCAGTCACCACCAGAAATTGATTGAAAATCTCAGAACAACAAATGAAGCAGGATCCTCGAGTTCCCAAATGCTACAGGTTAATAATACCCAAAATCATGATTTTGTAGAAAAGAATGTGCAAACTGCTTTAGCTTATAATAATTGTACATTTAGTACTGTTAATAAATAAATAAAGATTATGTTTCGTTAAAAAAAATATGTTACTTTCTTCGGACATCGGGTTAGTTGGTGCGTTTTTAGCCAGTTTATCTACAACTTCGTTACCTTCAATTCCGACATGAGATGTTAACCATAAAAAGTGCACTTCAATGTTCTTATTAGAAATGTTTTTAAGTCCTTTTTTAATAAGAAGTAGAAGGGGGTTGTCACAGTACAATTGAGTCAATGAGGATAATGAACTTAGAGAATCTGTAATTATTATACATCTTTCTTTGTTTTTGTTTTGTATTAACGATAGTGCTTTTAGAATTGCGAATAATTCAGCTGAAAAGATGGTTGTAATTGACGATAATTTGAAACTAACTGAGAGTCTTCCGAATAAATTGCTGCTCCAACTCATATCTATTTAATAGTGTATGAAACTTTTGTTTAATGACGGTTGATGATATCTCTCTTTTTCTTAAGTTTGTTAGACTGATGTCGATAGCAGAAATAGATATTGTCCATGGTGCAGGGTTGTGAATTGAAGAGGTATCCTAGGTTTTTGGAAATTGAAAATTTAATTTGGATAAGTATGATTGTATACGAAAGTAAAAAGGATGATCAATTTTATGTGTTTGTTGAAATTTATTTGTAAATCGATCTGCAAAAACGTTATGCAGTACTGGATTATTTCGGTTTGATGTCACTGCTGCTGCATATGTTAGGATTAGATATTGTCTTCTGAAAGAAAGAGGAAGTTCTCCACTTTCCCAATAGAGACTTTGAATGGGGCTTGTGTAGTGAGCACCTAAAGAAATACGTAGACATCTATTTTGGATAATATCCAGTGACTTTAAATGTGTTTTTTTGGAGGAGTTATAGACGATAGCTCCATAGTCAAGTATTGATCGAATTATGGATTTGTAAATAAGTATTAAACTTATAGATATCTAACTTGCGTTTCGCAGACGACACTACACTTCTAGCCTCTACTCCAGAAGAAATTACTAAATTATTAAAAAAACTCGAGGTAGAAAGTGCTAAATTTGGACTCATGGTTAACTACAACAAAACCAAAATCATGGTTATTGATCGCCAACAACAGTTTCCTGAAACCCAAACTATTGCGGGATGCGAGGTAGTCTCATCTATGATATATCTTGGAGCTCTAGTTAACAACACAGGCAGTTGTGAATCCGAAATTAGAAGACGCATTCAACTAGCAAGAGCAGCAATGAGTGAACTAAACGGGGTCTGGCGTGATCGTCACATTACTATGACAAACAAAAAGAGACTCGTTTCAACTCTGGTCTTTTCCATATTTTACTATGCATGCGAGACATGGACAGTCAAAGAATCAGATCGACGACGTATAGACGCCTTTGAAATGTGGACATGGAGACGCCTGCTTCGAATTCCATGGACGGCTCGCCGTACAAATATCTCGGTTCTGGATGAAATTAAACCGGATCAGCGTCTCTCCAGTACCGTTTACTCTAGAATTTTAAAGTTCTTTGGCCATATCCATCGAAGTGATCACAAAATGGAGCGGTTGGTGGTCCAAGGAAGGCCTCAGACTCAACGCCAACGCGGAAGATCTCCACAGCGATGGGCGGACATTACTAAAAAGCTTCTCAATAAACAGTATACTGAGGCAATACATATAACTGATGACCGCGACCAGTGGAGAAATATTATCAATCAAACTGTCCGAGCTGCTGAAGCCCAATTATGAACCACAACACATCTACTAAGATGTTAATGACTGTGATGATGATGATTAAACTTGAATAATCAGTACCTCAATTTTTAAATGCAAGTGGTCGTAGTAAAATTATACCAGGTAGACAGGATTTTTTCAGCTGTTGAATATGTAAGTTAATTTTTTATCAAACGTCATACCCAAGAATCGGATTTCTTCTACATAATCAAGTTTTTGTTCGCGTAGATATAATTCTTTTGTTTGGATTTGATTTCTCTTTCAGAAACTGATTGCTTTCGTTTTTGAAGTGTTAAATTGAAGTCCACTTTAGCTGACCATTTCTCAATGTGTTACGCTTTTTCAATGTGATTGTGAATCGTTGCTATGTTTTTTCCTCTACAGAAAATAACTAGGTCGTCAGCGTACAGTCTAGCTTTGACGGGGTTTTCAATTTGTGTTAATATCGAATTTATTGCTACTAAGAACAAAGTTGTGCTTAAGTTTGATCCTTGTGGTATACCATTTTGTTGAATTTTTGTTTGAGAATATGTTCCGTCAACTCGAACTTGAAATTGTCTGTTTTTAAGAAAATTTGAAATGTATTTTAATATGTTACCCCTTATTAACCAGTTGCTGAGTGTTTTAATGATTGAATATTTCCAAACTGTATCATATGCTTTGCTTATATCAAAAAATATTCCAACACAGTGCTGTTTTATTGCAAATGCTTCGTGGATTTCCGATTCTAAGTCAACAAGGTTGTCTAAAGTTGAGCGATGTTTTCGGAAACCACATTGTTCTGGAATAATTAAGTTGTTTGATTCTAAATACCACATAAGCCTATTGTTTATTATCTTTTCTAATATTTTACCTATGCTACATGTGAGTGATATCGGTCGATATGTTTGTGGATCTGATTTTGGTTTAGTTGGTTTTAGAATAGGTATTATGATTGAATTTTTCCATGATTTAGGAAACACGTTTCTGGATAGAATTATATTGTAGATTTTGAGTAGATATTCTTTAGATTGAGGGCCTAAATTTTTAAGAAATATAAACGTATATTGTCGGGTCCAGGACTAATATTTTTATTATTAATTTGTAATAAAAAATAAATATAAATTATACAATCCCAGTATAATACATACCACATGCATTAAAATATGAAGCAATCCGTACAGGTTGTAAATCTGATGTTGGTGGTCTAGAACAAGGTTAAGTCTAACCAAAACAACTATTATGGTGTAACACAAAATGGAACCGCTCCGTCCTCGAAATAGCTCCTCGTACTCGTTAATCAAAAGCCCAATATTTTTAAAAGTACGTCCTAAATTCCTTACATCTTGAGCCAGAATGTAGTCATGCACTTCTAGAGAATTCTTAGCATGATTTTGAGCAATATTTGCTAACGCAACATTAATTTGACAGTACATATCTTGAAATCTATTTAAAATCATTCTTATCAGCTGAATTTCTATATAATTTGAGATATATCTATCATATAACAGAATTTGTTGATAGATTGGACGTTTTTTGAACAAATGGTGAAAACTCGAAAAGAAAACCACTAATAATACAGGCACAATGATCAGATTAAGAATGGCGTACAATTTTGATTTTAAACTCTTGAATGTTGATTTGTTCGGCAAACCTTGATGTAATTGTTTAAAAAAACGGTCAAAGGTCATGTTTTTAACTAACGCTAAACTCCTAATCAGATACGTATAATACCAGATGTGAACGAATATAAGAAGATAATAAACAATTGTTGCAGTGGCTGTAGTCGCTTTCATAACATTTTTCACTTCGTAGACATCGTGTAATATTTGAGAACCATGGAAAACAATCCAAAAACAATTCATTATTAGGAAAATTGGCTTGATTGAAGCGACTGTAGTTTCCCAAGGGAGAAGGCCCATACATTTAGCAATTATCGTAATTATGGAGAAGATCATTTTATATTTGTTTGTATTTACGGTCAAAGTTTGGCTCACTAATGTGGAAGATCGTGAGAAAGTTTTTTCAGTTTCTCGCGGTGTTAATGGGACAGGGTTGAACTTGGGAAAAGCTACATAAAACTTTTTAATGGATACAATATTTTGTTATTTATTATTTATTGATACTTTTAAGGGGAGTACATGTAGAATATTAAATGTAGATATATTAGGCTCATTTTTTGGGTCTTTTAGGGTTGTAACCGTGAAATAGTTTTCCATTTTCCCTAGGATTACTTTATATCTACTGTATGCAACCATTAGTGATTCATATTATCCATTTGGCGATAGTCTTAAGAGCATAAACTTCTGAATGGCTAGTCTTTCCCTAGTCCTTATTCCCAATAGGTGTAGATCTACTTCTATATAATCCAAACATTAATTTTAATTCGAAAGAAAATGAACAAATCAAAAAGGATCTGATTGAGACAAAAGGACGCCTTGAAAGGCTGGATAGAATAAGAAAAGAAAATAATGTGATAATACAGGGAATGGCAGTAGAAACTGGAGATAGAAGAATACTAAAAGAAGTGATAGGAAATTTTATGACAAAAGAGCTAAATATTACCGTAAATATAGAAGAAGCAGTGAAACTAGGAGATAAAACATGTTTAGTCAGACTGCCAAACAAAGAAGAAACAATTATGGAAAACAAAAGTAAACTTAAAGAAAAAATATATATAAACGATGATCTAACGACAGAGGAATTACAAATACAGAAGGAAATACGAAGAATAACAAAAGATGAAATAAAGAAAGGTAAACGTGTCCAAATTAAAGCCAACAAACTTATAATAGATAGTCTAGAAAGGAGATGGAATAGAAACACCAACCAGCTGGAGGACCATCATGGAGGTGGTTCAAAAAACTAGCAAGGGATGAGAGGATGCATTATTCGTTGACGGACGAGGCAAAGAAACAGGAAATGACTGCAGATAAACCCGGTACAACAAAAGTGAAATAAAGAAAGACGGACAAGAAAACAAAAATAAAAGACGAAGACAACAGAAAAAAAAAATAAGAGTTGAAAATAAGCACATGGAATATAAGAACTATGCTAGCTCCAGGAAAAATGCTAGAAATAGGAAAAGAACTCAAAAAGTATAACATAGATATTGCAGCACTGCAAGAATTACGCTGGGAGGGACAGGGACAGATTGATAAACAAGACTTTACAATGTTATATTCAGGAGGAAAGAAGCAAGGGCAAAAAGGCGTGGGATTCATGATCCGTATCATGTCTAATTGGCAAATCCTTTACGTGTTTGGTTCATACGCTAGTGTTTGTGAGTTTGAATCCCAATATGAATTTTCTTTTTTATTTTTGAAACATTTAATAACCTCACGTTAATCTTATTAAATATATGTAATATACGCAAAAATGCTAAATTTTAAAATAAAATGAAAATTTACAACATAATCAGAGATGTTGGTTTTTTATTTTATCTTCGTAAAGCAATGTATATTGGCAGTTTTAAATACTTATGAATATAACATTTCAATTTATATTGTATTATTATATTAAATCGGAGAATACAGCAAGCGAATGGGATTAGAGATTAATACCAATAAAAACCAAATTTATGATCATCTCCAGAAACTTGGATGCACTTGAAAACTCCACCATAACACTGAATACTAAGTCCATTGAAAGAGTGAGTAAATTTAAATACCTGGGATCGTGGCTTTTTGAAGACTGGGCATCGGACAGGGAAGTAAAATGTCGCATTGAGCAAGCTCGACAAGCTTTCGTAAAATTCAAGAAGGTACTGACTTGTTCAGAGTTCGATCTTCAACTGAGACTAAGGTTTACTAAGTGCTACGTGTGGTCAGTGCTGCTATATGGCGTAGAGGGCTGGACACTCAAAACGAGGGATATAAACAGATTAGAAGCTTTCGAAATGTGGCTCTATCGCCGTATCCTAAAAATACCATGGACAGCGAAAATCACAAATATAGATGTCCTTAAAAGAATAAACCAAGAACGCCAACTTTTCGAAACCATCAAGAAAAGGAAAACGGCGTATCTAGGTCACATCATGCGAAATGAAAAATACCAGTTCCTCCAACTTATAATCGAGGGTAAAATTGAAGGCAAGAGAGGAATGGGACGCAAGAAAATGTCCTGGCTCCGAAACATAAGGCAATGGACAGGGATTAACGACATACAATATCTGATACATATTGCAAGAAATAGAGAATTAATGGAAAATGTGATCGCTAACATCCATTAGTGGATTTGCATCTGAAGAAGAAGAAGATTAAATTATGTTGCAGTACATTTATTGTATTGTAATTTTTATATTAATAACATAATCATTTTTTTTGCATTCAACTCCTTTTATACATATATAAAAATAAAAATATATATTTTCATTAAAATATTGATACAATCCTTCATTTACTATACTCCTATTACAGGTCAAATGTTTATATACAGCAAACGATGCACCATATACCTAATATAACTAATTATTTTTCTCTTTCTGCTCTCTCTTACCTATAGCATTACATATGTAATGATTGTGCAGATTGACTCCCATATAAATTTGTAACGGCGAACGCTTGTATAGAAGTATAACTCCTACCGACAGTCCCACTGGACTGCCACGCCCGTTTTTTTATATACTATGTATTGTTTTTGACTTGATACAAACAATATTTGTATTTGTTACGTAGTTGAATAAATACTCTACTCTACTCTAGCTAAAACATTTCTAAACGGTCGCATCTTTTAGGAAATTCAATAATCGCTATTTTATTTCAGTATGAGTTTGCCCCAAAATAAATCATTTTAAAGTTATAAGCAAGGAAAGTAGAAAAAAATCGATGTTTTTAGTAATTTTTTAGTTATTTTATTTTTTTATTAATATTCCCAACCTATTTGAGAAGGTTAGAAGACCCTCAAGTTCTTATGAACAAAATCACGTATTACAGTCAACAATATGGACTCAATATAAACGTTAAGAACACAAAGCTTATGATAATTAGCAAGAAACGGATAACAGAAGGTCAACTCGGCACCATAATAAATGAAGAATGGACCAACAACCAGGAGATTAGAGCACGCATCGGAAAAGCTAGATCCACCTTCAATCGGATGGGGGCCTTCTTCAAGTCACAACCTCTCTCTTGATACAAAAGTAAGAATGTTGCGATGCTACGTCTTCTCTGTCCTTTTTTATGGTGTTGAATCGTGGACCTTAAACGAAGACATTTGCAGAAAACTGGAAGCAGTTGAGATGTGGCTATATCGGAGGATGCTTAAGATCCCGTGGACTGACCGAGTCACAAATGAGGAGGTTCTCAGAAGAATGAATAAGAACCGAGAGGTACTGATCACCATCAAATCTCGAAAGTTACAGTTCTTTGGACATATTATGCGAAATGAATTCAGATATGCTCTCCTTCAAGACATCCTGCAAGGAAAAGTATTTGGAAAACGAGGTCCAGGAAGAAGAAGAGAACATCTTGGTTAAAGAACCTCAGAATCTGGTTCAATACAACATCTGTGCAGTTTTTCTGCGCTGTTGCAGATAAGATAAAGATTGTCATGATGATCGCCAACATTCGTAACGGATAGGCACATCAAGCAGAAGAAGATTGAGAAGGACGCTTAGTCAATTGTCTGTCTCAATTATTAAATAAAAAAATACTCACCAATTGTGTTATCACTTGGAGAATATGAAAACATTCGTGGGCATTATCTATCATCATTTTTATTTCAATCAAAATAACGAAGAGGGTATAAAATAATACTGTTGTAGTTCGTAGCTTAAATAAACTTTCATATTCATTGACCAGAAATCCAACATGTTTATAAGTATTTCCAAACCTTCTTACCTCTGTAGCTAAAACATAGTGATGCACCGGAAGATAATTATTCAAATGATTGTTAATGGAACGTTTGAATAAGATGTTTAATTGATGATAGATATGTTCAAGTTTTTTTAAAACCACCATTACAATCTGAGTATCTATAAAGGTTAGTAAGTGCTTCAAATATATTAAAACTGTTACTAAAAGACTAGTGTTTGGTCTAACGCTGAAGCCTACACAAAAGGTACTCGTTATACCAAGGAACACAATAAATATTTGATAATAATTTAAATATCCGCAGGTTTGCCCACAAGAGAGTACTTTATTGAGTCGTTTGAAAAATGAGTCATAGATTGGACGTTTATTAAGAACCAGATATTTTATCAAATATAAATAATACCATATGTCAAACATAAGGAGAAGTAGCAAAATAATTTTTAAAGGATTTGCCCTATCATTCAAAATCTTTATGAGTTGAAAAATACAGTAACATATTTGGGTACCATTAAATAATACCCAAAAATAGTTTATGGAAATCAATAATGGCTTAATTTTACCACATTTTACTTCCCACGGTATACGACCCAAACTTTTAGCAATATTAATGTATATATAAAAAAGATTTTGGTCAATGTGTTTGATAATTTTACGTAGGATCATATTGGTTTGCATTATGGTTAAGAAATTAAGTCAGTAATGTGTATTTTCATGATATTGTATGTAAAGTGGCACTCATGGAAAAATTATCGAGTAAATACCTTCAAGGTTGGACGATTAAAAGTTTCTAATGGCAAGATCATTTTCTTATTTATTATTTATATGTAGTGGAAATATAAAAATTTATGTCAACAACGAAAATAGCTACGGAAATCTTGCAAACACACTAAATGGCATAGAACTTAAATGGTATTAATCGTTTGAAGATCGACAAAATGGCCAGAAAACTGCATCAATTTGCCAATCTAAGAACATGAAGGAGGATCTAAAGAATAAGGGATATAAAATAGAAAACGTAATCCAATTACTAAAACGAAAGAAGAAATCACCACTGCCACTTTCTTCACTTAATTTTAGTAAAGAGGAAATGACCTTGCCGCTATGGGAGAATACTTTCGCAAATGGAGGCTACGGCCCAATGCAACGAAAACCGAAGTGTACTGTTTCTATCTGAATAATTCCCAAGCCAACAAAAAACTCTTCGTTTGACTTCGTATGACTCAATAGCAAACACACTAAGATTATTGACACCCAAATAAATGAGAATTCAATTAAGTGAGAAATGCGAGAATGCGTATGATCTCAGGTACAATTAGACCCACACCGAACTATTGTCTTCCTATTCTGAATCACATTCCACCGCCGAAACTGCGAAGAAGTCATTCTCTTCTCAGAGACTATCTAAAAATCAAGGCTAACCATCAACTACCCATCCACCATGATAAGCTTGATATCGAAATAAACAGACTGCACTCCAGATATCCTCCATTGTTAAAAGCCAATTCCTCACATCAGAAACATTTCAACCTCTCCAACGCTTGGAGAAGAAAATGGGAGAGCGACTCACCAGAGGAAGTAGACCAAATGGCCAGTATCGTTCAGAAACCGCCAGGTTTTGAACTGAAGAGGAAACATAAAAAAGTATATAAAATTACTGAAATTTTACACATGAAAGTGACCATAAAAGCTTTCAGAAAATCGAAATTGATTTCATAATGCAAACAATGTCAAAGTACAGACATACACAAAATTATTGTAGAAGAAAGCGGAGATAACCATTGCTGCGGCCGCACCACTGTGATGGTGCCCACCCAGCTAATTATAGAGGTTGCATATTTGCTATAGTTCTTCAAAAGTTACGGAACAATCACAGCACACAAAATAAGGCAGCATATAGAGAATCCTATACAAAACCAGCCAAGAGATGGTAAACCAAATCCAAAAATATGCCCAAACAGACTGAACAGACCAAAACAAATAGTAAAGAATGACCCCAATTCGTTATCAAACATGCTACACATACTAATAGAACGCATGAACAAGCAAAAAGAAATTATTAATAAAATTCCCAAGAAAGACTAAATAGCGTAGAAGCTAATAGAGGAGCATTGGAACTGGAACGCAAATGACCTATTGCAAGAGTACTTGTTGACTCGTTTGGAAAAAACAAAACTAAGTTTGGTTGGGTTCGAGTCAATAAAAGGGGCTGTTAGAACACTATTCTTCAATCATTCAAGCTTTCAACTGTGCTTACAATTACTTTGAGACAAAATAGAGCGTTTTGTTACAGTTTCGATACTTGAAATGCCGAGCTATAAAATAGAGTATCTTTGCGAGAATTACATTGAATTCCTAATGCCTGATGGTGACATCAGGATCTAGAGACATGCAGTACTCTTAGCATGTTTATTTTGATCAACTATTAAAGAGCTATTAAAAAAGCATACATGCATAAGTCGCGGAGCTGTGTTTTTGCACCAGTAGGAAGATCATCGACGTACAAGTTTGTTTTAATGCGATAGCTGCGAGAGGATATGTAAAACAATCATCTTGAGCTAATTGCTTAAAGGTTCGAGTTGATAAGTATGATGTCGGCACGGTACCGTACGTGACGATATTAATAATGTATGATGATTTAGTTGAATCTTGTGGATTTTTGCAAAATAAATTTTTTTGACAAATAGCGTCATCGGGGTGCACGAGAATGTGACGATACATTTTCTCTGCGGCGGCAGTCAATACGAATATATGTTGATGATAACGAAGAAGAATGACAAATAAATCATCCTGCAGCTTGAGACCGACCATTAAGGTATCATTGAGCGATATTCGTCTTGACATTTTGCAGAGCCGTCAAAAACTAAAGAAAGAAAAAATCCATTTTGTTGGTCATTTTTATCAATCTAACTAACAAAAGAGAACAACATATCCCAGTACATATAAATAGAAACCAAATACCTTATGCAAATACGGCAAAATATTTGGGTATGACGTTAGATTCCAAGCTACGTTGGAAAGCACATGTTAAGAAAAAAAAGGAGGAATTAGAAATTAAGTTCAGAAAGATGTACTGGTTGATGGGAAAAAAATCCACTCTGTCTATTTACAACAAATTGCTATTATATAAGCAAGTCCTTAAACCGATATGGACATACGGAATACAGCTATGGGGCTGTACAAAAGAAAGCAACATCCAACATATACAACGATATCAGAATAAAGTATTAAGGAACATCGTTAACGCTCCATGGTACTTTAGAAACTGTGATCTTCATCGAGACCTCCAGATGGATACAGTTATCCAGACAATAAGTAAGTTTGCCGAGAGTCATGAACAAAGGCTCTCCAACCACGTGAACGTCGAGGCCATCAAACTCCTAGACAACGCCAACCAGATAAGAAGACTAAAGAGAACGAAGCCGTTTGATTTAGTGCTATAAGTGAGTGAAAGTGAAAAAGCAGAGTAAAGTGCGGCTAAAGTGTACACGTTAGCTAGTAGTACTATAATGTATTAGAGCCTAAGGAATATTGCTGAATATAACCTTAGATAAGTTTCTTGTAATATTTATATATAGAACTAACTTGCTTATTGATCATAGTGAATGATCAGATAGCAATAGTCATAAGATTCCTGTTGGAGTTTTATTAAGAAAAAAAAATTATCAATTGTATATGACATGTTAGTTAATTTCGCCTACTCAGTCAAAAAGACAGAATATAGACCAGGGTCGGTAATTTTTGAAACCAAAAAAAAATTTAGTAGAATAAAACCTATTGGAAAAGGAAGAGAATATGCCAAAAATTAAAGAAAAAATAAATTCCACTCCATCCGAGGTCGGAAGTCGGAGGGGGTGAGTTTAAGGGTAAAAAATCGGTTTATACATAACCTCAAAAATTTTGTGGAAAATTAAAAAAACTAAGTTTTTGGTTTTTTATTTTTATCTTTTACAAAAATGATTTTTTTTACGAAATTTGGTGAAAACTTGCCTTAGTATGTACCAAATACACTGTAATTTTTTATAATTGAAAAATTATTTTTTTACCTGATATTGATTTAATATCGAAAGAGCACCCTAATTTTCACTCGAAAATTCATGCAGTTAAAATATCACCTTTTTTAAAAAAGTCGGTGAGCTTTTTGTTGTTGAAATCTCTACTTTCCGGTAGTGTAAAAAAATATACATTACTATGGCAAATGTTTTCAAAAACGCAAAAAAAAAACTCAAATCTAAAAAAAATTTTTTTTCATCATTATGTACAATTTTGAAATATATCTTATAATTAATACTGTAATTAGTCATGTAGCTTAAGATTTAATGATACATTGATAAATAAAAAAATTATAAATCCACGAAACATTATATGAGTCTTAACAAGACAATGTGAAAATAGCTGTTAAAAATATTCAAGATAGGATTCGTTTTTTGCTCTTTTTGAGAATATTTCCATAGTAATGTATATTTTTTTAGAAAGTAGAGATTTCAACAAACAAAAAGCCCACCGACTTTTTAAAAAAACTGATATTTTGATGCTGATTTTTTTTCGATTGAAAATTAGGGTGCTTTTTCGATATTAAATCAATATCAGGTAAAAAAATAAATTTTTCAATTCCAAAAAATTACAGTGTATTTGGTACATACTAAGACAAGTTTTCACCAAATTTCGTAAAAAAAAATTTTTTTTAAAGATAAAAATAAAAATCAAAAACTTAGTTTTTTGAATTTTCCACAAAAATTTTGAGGTTATGTGAAAAAAGTGTAAATACAAAAGTTG